AGAAAAAAAAAGACAATAAATGAATTTCGGAGAGGAAAATGAATAATTCCTCTGCAGTCTGGGAGCTTCAGTTGCAGACCTTTTATGGAAAATCGGCAGTTTTCAATTGCGGTAATCTTAGTGCTTTCATTCTTAGCCATTTCCTTTTGTTCTTATTTTCGTAAAGAATGTTTTGTTAATTAGAATGTTCTAATGAAATCATCTCGTAATCTTCTAACCAACGATTGTTTTATCTATTATTATATATACGTCTGTTTTAAGCAGACGAGAATTGCATCAATGTTATCGTCTGATTCAGCCATTGTCAGTCTGAGAGATAAGACATATTTTGGTTTGCATAGAGACACAGAAGGAAAGTAGTAATAAATTGACTATAAAACGGAATCCAGTAAGATTTTTACATAAATACATTAATATATATATATATATATATATATATATATATATATATATATATATATATATATATATATATATATACATTTTTTTTATTCTTCATCTTTTTCTTTTTTTGATAGTCTTTCGTTCTTTCTTTCTTCTCAGTTCTTCAACATCTTTTTCTTCTTCAACATCTTTTTCAATTTTGCTGATGCTTTCATTCTTTCTTTCTTTCTTCTCCATTTTTCAACATCTTTTTCTTCTTCAACATCTTTTTCAATTTTGCTGACATTTTTATTCTTTCTTTCTTTCTTCTCCATTTTTCAACATCTTTTTCTTCTTCAACATCTTTTTCAATTTTGCTGATTTTTTCATTCTTTCTTTCATTCATTCTTTTCCATTGTTCAACATCTTTTTATTCTTCAAAATCATTAAAAACTTTGCTTATTATTCTTTCTTTCTTTCTTTTCAGTTCTACAACATCTTTTTCAATTTTGTTGATATTCTTATTCTTTCTTTCTTACTTCTCCCTTTTCAGCATCTTTTTCTTCTTCAACATCTTTTTCTTCAACATCTTTTTGCCGATGTTTTCATTCTTTCTCCTCCATTCTTCAACACCTTTTTATTCTTCAAAATCATTAAAAATTTTCTTTAGCGTATTATTCTTTCTTTCTTTAATACCATTTTCTTTTCCAACATCTTTTTCTTCTTTTTACTGATCTTTTTATAATTCTTTTTTGTTCTTTCTTATTTCATGAAATGTGGAAAAAGGTGGATATGCACATGGCACAGCGGTTATCAAATGAAATCTGCGAATCGTGTTCAAGTTCACATCAAGCCGTTCAAGTTCAGCTAACAGTAAACACCACGTAGAAGGCCTGAACCCACCAGGTCTCCGCCTAGCTATGAGTAAAATACGTCTTGGGCCTTACAATCTTGGATAGCAATTCGACAAACTTTTAATTAAAGTCAGTTGGACGTGAGTTTAGCAAATACACCCATAAATATATGTTGGCTACTGAAACCACAGTATCATCACCTAATATGGTTTTGCTGTGGTTCTATCGTTTATGTGATGAGTCTACAGATTGTACAGTACCTATGATCTTGCGCCAGACTAAATTAAATTTTGGTAAGTACAAGTTTTTCTCGGTGATGTTTGAAAACTATAATTAAAGTTAAAGATATATTGTGTTGAGTTAAAATAAAACGCTAAAAGCAGAGAATCGTTTTAGGTAGGAAAGAAATATTTTCAGAAGGAAAAATGTTATCGAGAGAACAATCAAAGAAAGAAAAAAAAACAGAGAAATAAAGTCAAAAAAGATCTGGAGAAGTCGGGGGAGGGGGGAAATAAAGGAAAATGATTTAGAGAGCGGCAAAAAGGAAAAGAAGAAAACTGAAAAAGAGGTAAAATAAGAAAAAGATGGGGAGAGGGGAAAAGAGAAATAAAAAGGTAAAAAAAAAGAAAGAAAGAAAAAAGGATGGAGAGAGAGAGAGAGAGAGAGAGAGGAAAAAGGAAAAATGCGGGAAAAACAACATAGGAGAAGAAAAAATAAGAAAAGAAGAAATAAAGAAAAAAGATGTAGTGAGAGTAAAAACGAAAGAGAAAGTGAAATTGAAGAAAAAAAGAAATAAGAGAATAAATAAAGGAAAAGAATGAGAAGAAATGAAAAAGGAATAAATAAGAAATAAAAACTTTCTTTACATTATTCGGACTATTGTCCACATCTTTGTCGCCATATTTATTACAACGTTTCGGCCGTTGTACGCTCCGGCCTTCCTCAGTATTGTTAATAATTTCTGAGATATAGATAGAAAGATAGGACAATAGTCCCATAATGTAAATAGTGTACATAACACTCATCTCAGAAATATAGACATTATTCCGACTATTGTCCTTCTTTCAGAAAGAAGGACAATAGTCCTAAACGTTTCGGTCGTTGACTTTCCGGTCTTCTTCAGGTGGTTGTAATGTCGAACTGAACACTTTATTTCGTTCACTGGGGTAGACTGTTCTAGTTCCACGTGCCATGTTTAATGGATGTCAGTTATCACTTACCCCTGTTAATCCCCCTCTCCAAGTTCTCCGCTGCCTTAACCGGGTATTGAACTCACACTCTGGGTCCTGTCACTGGATCTAACTAACGTCTTTATCCACTGTGCCATGTGTCCTTAAACATGGCACGTGGAACTAGAACAGTGTACCTCAGTGAGCGAAATAAAGAGTTCAGTTCTACATTACAACCACCTGAAGAAGACAGGAAAGTACAACGGCCGAAACGTTGTAATAAATATGGTGAGAAAGATGAGGACTATAGTCCGAATAATGTAAATAGTGTACATAATACCTCATCTCAGAAATATAGACAGAAAGGTGAGGACAATAGTCCGAATAATGTAAATAGTGTACATAATACCTCATCTCAGAAATATAGACAGAAAGATGAGGACAATAGTTCGAATAATGTAAATAGTGTACATAATACCTCATCTCAGAAATATAGACAGAAAGGTGAGGACAATAGTCCGAATAATGTAAATAGAAAAATTGGAAAAAGAAGAAATCAAAGAATATAACGAGAAGAGAGGAAAAAGTAAAATAGAAGAAATGATCGAAAAATTGGAGAGAGAGGAAAAAGTAAAAGAAAAGTTGAAAAATGAAGAGAAAGAGAGCAAGAGAAAGAGAGAGAGAGAGAGAAAGAGAGAGAGAGAGAGAGAGAGAGAGGGTGGGGGAAGAATGAGGAAAGAATAAAAAAGAGAATATATAAAAAAGAGAAATCTCGGAGAAGCATATTTTAAAGAAAAGGAAAAAAAAAAGAGTGAAATAAAAAAAAAAATGAAACGTCATTAAAGATAAGGTAAAAAAAAAAAAATGTCTGAAATGGAGAGATTCAAAATAAGAACCAATGACAAAGGTTTTTCCAAAAGCGGGGATCTGATGCTCTTTGACAAGCTCCGGATTAGTGGCTCCCACATTTCCCGCCAAAATGTCTCAGAATTTCTATGGAGGATATTTCAAGAAAGAAATTTAGTTACAAATATTCCGAGACGCTTCGTTTTTCGTTTTTTTTTTTTTTCGTTTTTTTTTTTTTTTTTTTTTTCCCTCTTTCAGATGCTCGGACATAACCGAGTGATATTCCGTCACTTTTACAATAACATGATTTTGGTTCAAAAGATAAAAGTAACAAAAACATTAAAAAAAAAGTAAAAAAAAAAAACAAAACAAAAAAAAAAAAAAAAAACCACGCCAATTCTTTGTTCTGGTTCGGAATAAAAGAAAGTATCGAATTACGTCCGAAGACCAGTTTTTGTCACCTACTTTGGAAGCAGTCTTTATTTCTGGTTGGTCGTGACGCGAACACACACACACACACACACACACACACACACACACACACACACACACACACACACACACGTATATTATTTATTTATTATAATTTTATCATATAGACAAAACCATTGTACTCACGACAAAGATGCAACTTGGTTTCAGTGCATTTCAACTGCACTTCGACGGGTGAGAATCGAAAATGCTTATGAACAATCCTGGTTGTAGGCAAGCCGTGTGTAAAACGTCACTTCCTTTTTTCCATTTGTTTGAGAAGAAAAACATACAAAGAAATACCAGCGAAGAAAAATTCTTACCAGAAATAAATTTTGGAAGGAAAAAATATTACCAGAAATAGATTTTTGGAATAAAACTATTACCAATAATGAAAAATTTGTCAGCATTAAATAACCTATTGAGGTTGATATACCGTAAAACAAATCAAACCAAACTTTTGCAACTACGATTGACAGCTACGGTTGTTTATCTCACACGTCGGCACTTTATCTGTATCTTCTTTCTCTTTCCCTAATCCTTTCCAATCTTGATCGTCCGTCATTTTTTTTAATCTAAAAGCTGGAAAGGGAGGGAATACACTGGAGCAGTAGTGACGATGTTGCTAGACCAAGCAACTAACCCCTCCTGAATTCGGACTCTATTCACTTTATCGCTAATGCACCACAGATTCGTTTATTTGCATTCATTTTCTGCAAGAACTAATTCAATACAGAGCATTAAGCATAGAATTTTGCTGTCTTTCTTTATTTTTTAACGAAATTTCGATATCCACGCTGGATTAGTCACATAGGGGAAAAAGAAATAAGGAATATTCAAATGTTTTCTTTTACATTCTCTCTTTCGTTTTTCTCTTATTCTATCTTTCATTAAAAAGTATCATAATGGCTGGCCGTTCTTATCTATCTATCTATCTATCTATCTATCTATCTATCTTAGTATGTTTATATCCATCTCAGTCTGTTCATATCTATCTTTCCCAGTCTGTCCATATCTATCTATCTATCTATCTATCTATCTATCTATCTATCTATCTATCCCAGTCTGTCCATATCTATCTATCTATCTATCTATCTATCTATCTATCTATCTATCTATCTATCTATCTATCTATCTCAGTCTGTTCACATCTATCTAGCTATTTTATTCTGTTCTAATCTATCTATCTATCTATCTATCTATCTATCTATCTATCTATCTATCTATCTATCTAGCTAGCTAGCTAGCTAGCTATCTATCCCAGTCTGTCCATATCTACCCATCTATCTATCTTAGTATGTTTATATCTATCTCAGTCTGTTCATATCTATCTTCCCAGTCTGTCTATATCTATCTATCTATCCCAGTCTGTCCATATTCATCTATCTATCTATCTATCTATCTATCTATCTATCTATCTATCTATCTATCTATCTATCTCTTGGTGGTCATATCTACCCGTTCTTTCACCCTATCTCTCCCTTTCTCTCTCTCTTTCGACTCGGCTGAATGGTTCCCAAACTTTTTTGTCACAGTTCGCTAACCAAATATTAATCCTTTTTGCCTCTATTAATTTCCGCTTGTGAATGAATGGTCAATGTTTCCCCAATTTCCTTTCATAAATGTTTTTTTTCCCATTACTCACAATTTGCATTTCATGAGACTGTTAGTGTGCGCTGGTTAAATTGTCCCCTTATTAATATCTGCTTGCCTATGATCAAGTGGCAGAAAGACTCAAGCACCCTCCCCAGTATTCTAGCTTAGGTACCTTCACGAGATCGCTAAAAAAAGAGCAATTTTGTTTTCGTCAAGTTTGACGCCTTTTTTATCATGCTATGCTCTTTTTTTTAACGATCTCTTGGAGGTATCTATCTATCTATCTATCTATCTATCTATCTATCTATCTATCTTGTTCTAATTTTCGGTCTGCTCAATCAGTGATATCTATCTATCTATCTATCTATCTATCTATCTATCTATCTATCTATCTATCTATGTCTGTTTCTTCCTATCTATCACTGTTTCTTTCTATCTATCTATCTATCAATCTATCTATCTATCTATCTTGTTCTAATTTTCGGTCTGCTCAATCAGTGATATCTATCTATCTATCTATCTATCTATCTATCTATCTATCTATCTATCTATGTCTGTTTCTTCCTATCTATCACTGTTTCTTTCTTTCCATCTATCTATCTATCTATCTATCTATCTATCTATCTATCTATCTATCTATCTTGTTCTACTTTTCGGTCTGCTCAATCAGTGATATCTATCTATCTATCTATCTATCTATCTATCTATTTATCTATCTATCTATCTATCTATCTAGTCTTTAATTCTTTGTTTCTGATTTTGAATTCTCTATTCAATTTTCCTACCCTTCTTCTTGCAGGTATATTTGACTTGAATCGTTAAAATGACAATCATTTGCACAGTTCCCAACGTTACACTGTTCTCACTCAGTCATATTTGCTTTTTATAATTATTCCGAGTCATCTTAATTCATTGTATTTTCTATAAGTTTGAGTGTTACTGACACTGTTCGGACGATCAGATATTACAGTTTTCCGGATAATTTATTCATTTAGTGTGGGTCATCTGTCAAAGCGAGGCTTGTCGGATAGGTCACGATCACCATTTTCAAATTGCTTTTTAATCAAGACAGCAAAACCACTAAAATGCAAGGAGCTACTGAGCGATAAAAAAATATGACAATGTAATAAAAGAAGAAGAAGAAGAAGAAAGAAAACAGAAGTTAACGATTGATATTGCATTTAAGTTTTTGAAGGTTAAAGTTGCCTGGGAAGCAAGGAGCCGGAAGTGAGTTGTGCAAGTGCGAGAGAAGAAACTGTTAGCATAGAACTTACGGTTACATCTTGCCATTTCAACTGCAAAATGACGAGAACTGCACTTAAATTCATTTTAGGTACCACGGAGCAAACCACCTCAGAACAATTACCATGAAAATATTTAATGAAAAAAAAAAAAAAAAAAAAACACACTGAGAATGTAGGTTATAGAGGTGGGAAAGTGAATGAAGGCGCCATGCCAGGTCAAGATCAATGACATTGCAAATTTTTCCTCTGGATTTTACCAAGTCTCTCCAAATGTATAGCCGGGGTACCAGACCAGAATTGACAGCAATATTCAAATCAAGGACGAATGGTAGATTAGTCAGTTATATTCATCGCATAAGAAAGAAGCAAGAGATAGATAGAAAGATAGATAGATAGAGAGATAGAGAGAGAGAGAGAGAGAAGCAGAGTGAGAGAGAGAGAGAAGCAGAGTGAGAGAGAGAGACATAGAGAAAAAATAAGACAGCTAAAAATAATCTTAGATCGATAGATAAAATTAATTCTTAGTTAAAAATAAGACTTAGATAGATACTGTTGTGGTAAACCCACTTACAGTATATTAAACTCTTCCTTCTCTCATAAATACAAACTGCAAGAGTCGGCAGAGTGCAGAGCAGTAGACGCGGTGCTAATCTACTTATTACTACCACTATTGTTTTGTATATATCTTCAATATACTTTTTCAACCTACCTTCATCTTCCGTGTCTTTCTTTCTGGCCCCTAAACAGACTACAACAGATAGATAGATAGATAGATAGATAGATAGATAGATAGATAAAAGTAAGACAACTAAAATAAGTCTTAGATCGATAGATAAAAGTAAGACTTATTTAAAAATAAAATTTAAATAGGTTGATAGATATACAGGCAGATAAAAATGACAGCTAAAAATAAGTCTTAGATCGATAGATTAAAGTAATTCTTTCTTAAAAAATAAGACTTAGATAGATAGATAGACAGCTAAAATAAGTCTAAGATCGATAGATAAAAGTATTCTTAGTTAAAAATAAGTTTTAAATAGATAGATAGAATGTTAGATAAAAATATGATACCTAAAATAAGTCTTAGATCGATAGATTAAAGTAATTCTTTCTTAAAAATAAGACTTAGATAAATAGACAGCTAAAATAAGTCTTAGATTGATAGATAAAAGTAAAACTTAGTTAAAAATAAAAGATAGATAGATAGATAGATAATCACTATCAATTCGGAATTCATACACTAAGCAATGGCGAATATGTTGTTTTTTAAGCTATAAACCGCCATTGCGTTATATTTTGAAAGCAGTCCTAGTGAATTTGACACTGAAAGCAAAGAGGAACAGCGTAGACTACTTGAAGAACTTATGTGAATTGAAGGTAGAACACGGATAATGGGGGAATTTTAAAGGCCCCAACATTACACAAAGCAACAAATATTAGGAATTTGGTAATTTTCATGATCGCCAACATGTTGTAGAACCATAACACATAAAAGAAGATCTACTCAATGTTGGGCATTATTCGGACTAACATTTTTGTTTCAGCGGCTAAACTTTGAAACATAACATTGGATTTTTCTGTTTAATGAGGGAGAGTTATGGTAGAATTCATTCTCCCATTTTCATTTCCCCCATTATGGGTATTATCATATTCATGATATAATAACACCGTAATTAACGGGCGGAATGGAATGGCTGAAATGAATGACAAGCACGCTTTGTTCTCAGAGAGACTTTTTATCCCACTAAGACACACACAAAACTATATATACATACATACATACATACATATATATATATATATATATATATATATATATATATATATATAAAGTTGCAAATAAAAAAATAATGTACTTTTTATGAAAGTATTTATTTATTTGTATACTTTCATAAAAGTACATTATTTTTTTTAATTTGCAACTTTTTCTATATATACATATTAAGAAAGTATACGTGGCTTCTCATTATGCCATATATATATATATATATATATATATATATATATATATATATATATATATATAAAGTATAGGATTGGTGTATATGGAATAAATTCCAATAAACAACAATTACTATTCTTAAAAGAGTGCTCAATACATAGTAGAGAGCAGATATAATTATTTATTTAAAAATTATAACATAAATATGTTATAAAATCACTACAAAAATAGCCATTGTGTTTCAACACCTCCGGTGTCTTAAGTGATCTTGAATTGAGACATTCAAAATCATCAAAAAGTAAGAGTGATTGGGAGGAGTGAGGAGGATTTTTCCTCCGGAGGTGTTGAAACAAAATGGCTATTTTTGTAGTGATTTTATAAAATATATTTATGTTATAATTTTAAATAAATATATATATATATATATATATATATATATATATATCGGGTGTTCCATTAACTTGGACGGATTTTAAATGTGAATTAAGTTTATACGTCTAATGATTTTATTCTTTCAGATTTAACAACTTAATTCTTTGGCAATTTCAATCATGGAAAGATTAACAACTAAACAGCATGTTAAAGTTATCAAAGTCTATTACGAAAATAGACGTTCAAATTTATAAATATACGACTTAATGATTCGCTAGTAAAAATCCACACCAAACAGTGACCTTTTGTGGATGCAGTGGCTTTTCAACAATCTTCCTTGGATTTTCATCAGCTCAAATACGACAATTCTGCTTATTAACGAATCTATCAAGATGAAAATGGGTTTCATCACTAAAGAGGATATTTTGCGAAAAATCTTCATCAGCTTGTCTTTGCCCGTGGACCCAACTGACGAATGTACAGCGCTCCAAATGGGCAGCAGGTTTCAGTTCTCGTGTAAATTGAATTTTGTAAGCGTGCTGAGACAAATCTTTCGATGTCCGATTGTTGTGGAGAAGTTCAATTCCTACGCGCGATGACGAATAGAGGGGTCTGGATTTTCGGCCACATTCACGTGCACTGCAGCAATGTTTTCAGCTGAACGGCGTAAGGGAGCACGCAATGGTATTTTCACATCTGCCATCAACTCAGTTCGTTTGAATTTACGAACAATTTTTTCAGTTGCACTCTCGGTTGGTCGATTATGTTGACCAAAAAAATATTTGAACATCCATTTCCGTAATAGGCTTCGATAACTTTGATACGTTGTTTGAGTATTATTCTTTCCATGGTTGAAATTGCCAAAGACTTCAGTTGTCAAATCTGAAAGAAAAAGAAAAAATCATTAAACACTTAAACTTAATTCACATTTAAAATTGGTCTAAGTTATTGAACACCCTTAATATGGCACACAACATATAATGGTTCCAATTGTGTATCCTAAAGTGTAATAGGCTTCGATAACTTTAACATGTTTGATTTTTAATCTTTCCATGGTTGAAATTGCTAAAGACTTAAGTAGTTAAATCTGAAAGAAAAAGAAAAAAAAATCATTAGACACTTAAACTTAATTCACATTTAAAATCGGTCAAAGTTACTGGAACACCCTATTCAAGTGTCCCACGGTGAATAATATATCACATATATCTACGCAGCAAAGCAGAGTGTAAAGAAAAACAGAAGAATCTTATGTATAACATAGAAATACTTCTGTGGCAGGAGAAACCATGTTTAGGACTCCAGATTCAAACGGACCGGATTCATCTATGTCCCAGGTGAGGACATATTCCACGAATAAGAAACAGCGAGTCTTGGGTTTTCCCAAATTGAGTTCTGCGAGCTGAAGTTTCTTTCTGTATCTGCGAAAGATATATTGCCAAGGGAAAACGGCACTATGGACTTTTAAGTTGGTGGGGGAGGCAGATTTATCATCTGTCCGGGTCATTGGGGGAAATGGGTTTAAAGAAAGTAACCTTTCGGTTTGGCTACTGTAAAACAAACCTGAGGGACTGACCACTGTTGTCATTGTATGAAGTGACGTCACTAAGCGGCCGTCACGTGACCCATGTGACTTATCTCCACCAAATGGAGATAATCGCCTTTTGTATCCATACATCTGCACATTCTTTTAACCTTCACATTTAACATTTTGCTGATCGGCGGATCGCATAAGTTCTCAATTTCTACGCTTAGTCTGCTGATCGTATTGTTCGAGACAAGTATAACCGTTGGTTTCTTAAAAAAAAAGTCTTATTCGCTATTGATTCTCCCAATCGGTTATTTTGACTTCATTTCTCAAATGGTGGTCACCTCGATTCACTCCTCACACACGATCAACCATTTTTGCTTTCGAAATCAATGGATGAATTAGAGCTTCCCAGTACTCTTAAAATATTATTTGCAGGGTGGGGGAGTGATTTCTTTCTTGTATTCTCCTCCACAACTGGAATGAATTTAACACAGGCACACAGACACACACATATTATTTCAATTATTTACATTATTCGGATTAATATAAAAAATTAAAATGTTTAAAACAAATTAATATTATTCTTTATTTTCCACTAAAAAAAATCCCAATTTTCCGAGAGTCTCTACCTCCCTTTTTTTATTTTTATTTTCGAAAAACTTTAAAACTGGTTTTAATTTTTCAATCTTTTAGGCCAAAGTGAAAAATTCTAGCAAAAGATATTCGCAGTCAAACGGTATGGTTTCTGATATTTAGTCAAAACAGACCTGGAATATTTACATGAAAGGAAAATATTAGCGCTAATTTGATTGAAAAAGGAAAACTTTTAATAAGTCAACGATATGCAGAAATCTTTATTAAATTTTATTGAAATTCCGTATTTGTCTTTTTTCTTTTTTTGTGAAGAACATCTTTAGCTTAGCTTTTGGAAAACATCTTTCGCTATCCCAATGCGTTCTCGGATTTCTGTATCGTCGTTTGTTAAAACATCTTCCAGATATCTGTCGATATTTCTGGCATGCAGTATTGTAATTATTTACATTATTTATATTGTTCGGACTGTTTCTTCTTTGGAAGCCCTACCAGCAATGAAATTCTTTATAAATGATGTATTGTCGGATAGAAATGATGCGGTTCATATAAATGTATACTATCAGTAAATGTTTCCCTTTTGTTAGCTTAATTAAGTGGGATCTCTTTTGAATACTGTCCAGATCTTGTATGGATCACGTATTGTTTGATCATCTCTGATACGACTCTGATGTAGGACTCTGATGTATGACTTGTATCTTTCAAGCCTGTCTTTTATATTAGTTCCCTTTTATTGGTAGGTGTCTGGATCGATAAATATGTTTCACTTGGTGTTGTCATTAGTGGGTTCTGCGTTTATACAGCAGCCATAATAACGATCGAAATTCAAATACTATCCGGTGATATGCTGATTTACTGAGCCGCCAATCTGTAGGTGCAGTATTGCTAGTTCACAGTATGTTCGCTTAGGATCTGATCACATTCATGAAACATTAAAGTTAAGGCCATCATGCTGAGATACAGATGAGATACATTAGTTCTTGAAAAAACTTTTGGAATTTTTCAGTTTCGTTTCAAGTAGCAGCTTATCTATCTATCTATCTATCTATCTATCTATCTATCTATCTATCTCACTGTTCATCTATATATCTCACTCCGTTTATTTATCTATCTCATTCTGTATATATTCTCATTCTTTATCTATCTATCTATCTATCTATCTATCTATCTATCTATCTATCTATCTATCTATCTCACCCTCTCTCAAATCTTTTCCCAGTCTCTCTATCTACTTTTTTTGTGTATGAATGTCGGTAGGAGTACGTACGAATTACTTTTATTCAGATACACTCGAGTTTAAATACCCATTCTACCAATTTACTGTTTGACTAGCTGTAGTGACAAAAACATAGTTTAAATTGTTTCAATGAATTCAATTGTCAGGATTTAAAGTGCAGACGACATTTTAAAAGTGACTTTCTTTTCGAATGGACGACTGCGTAAGCAGAAATCTTTTCATGAATTATTTGCCTAATTAAGATAAATAATAGAAGGCATTGTTCGAGTTTTTTTTTTTTTTTTTTTTTTTTGCTTTGCTTGCATTGTTCTTGTGGAAAATGTGATTCCTTTTCTGTGACCAGAATGGCGAAGGAAAAGAAAGAAACCCTATCATTACAAACGAGATACGAAAAGTGAATTTAAGTCAAACCAGTGAGAGAATAATTCATTTCGAGGAACAATCTGATTTTGTGTGACATGAAATATTTTTGTCTGATGACTTCATATTTGAATTAATTAAAAAGAACCCCCCCCCAAAAAAAGCAAAAAAAAAAGCAAAAAAAAGCAAAAAAGCAAAAAAAAAGCAAAAAAAAAAGCAAAAAAACAGACACACGCGTCTTTGTTTGAATAATATACACAAGTTCTTCTCATCAAATTTTTCATGCGACTTTTTAAGCTAATTTTAAGGAGGTCGCATCATACACGAGATATAAAATTAGCGTATGTACTTGGGTACGCTGTTGAGATATAAAAATTAGATATAGAATGAGATATAAAAATTAGATATAAAATTAGCGTATGTGCCTGGGTACGCTGTTGACCGAACTAAATATCCATTTTTTTCTTTCTTTGCTTTTTATGCGCCATGTCCTTTCAGGACGTAGGCGATCTAAAACTCCATCTCCCTCTATCCCTTGTAGCTCTCAACAAGTGCCTTCCCCCTGCTACCCTCCCCCAGACCATGTGATCCACTTGTTTAAGCCCGCCAGGTACGTCACGCGTTGTTTTCTCTTTCCCTCTATTCGACCTGTGAGTATCAGATTCTCCAGACCCTCCTTCCTCATTATGTGTCCCAGAAACTTCAGCTGCCTCTTCCTAATGTTAAGTATAAGCAGCCTCCTTGTTTGCATACTCTCTAAGACCTCATCGTTGCTCACACGCTCGGTCCAGGATATCCTTAGCATCCTTCCGTAGAACCACATCTCTGTCGCTTCGAGTTTCTTGTTCATCTTTGAGGAAATCGTCCAACATTCGCTGCCATAAAGAACGACAGATGTTACGTAACAGCTCAAGTTTTCATAACTTGTTTTATTTTTTAATGGTACTGAATTAAATCCACATCGTCTTAAGTTTTCTATTGAAAAGTTTGTTGAATATAAGGTGGCCTGCGAACAAATGCCTGTACACAGTCGTAGAGTGATTCCCTTTCGATGTGAACGGTCAGTCTAGCACCCCTCTCCCTCGGTCTTGGGTTTGAACGAGGGAGAGTAGTCGTACAAATCATTCTTTGCTAAGTTTCGACTAAGAACCACGTGCCTTTTCAGTTCTTGGCTCTGTCTCAAAATAACATGGACGTATTTAAAATATCCATTTTACTGTAGTCAAAAAGTACAGGTGTGTTTAAAATAAACATCGCACTTTACATGTGTATATACGGTAGTTGTTTCATGTTACCTGTATTTTTTCCGAAATTCATGTCAATTTTTATTTTATATCACTCCCCACCCCCCGAGAACTTTCGATTGTTGGTACATTCTTTTTCAAAGATCGTGTTTTGTGCATATAAACGCAGCCATTTTTCTTTATTTCCGGTGTTCGTTCGCGTGTTTCCTGGAACAAATTTCGATTCGCTCAAGATGTTCTTTAAATGGTCAAGCTGGAATTGTAAAAAAAAAAAAAAAAAAAAAAACAAAAAAGAAAAAAAAAAAAACGCATAAAAATGAAAACTTAACCCTTTGCGAATTTTCTTCTAATATAGATGCTTAGTGACCACTGCTTCTGTGGCTATCTACTCCACATACCGTACTCAGGACAATTTCTGATTGTTTTCGTATCGACTGAAACGTAAGGTCTATGAACACTGTGCCACCATTTCTGTACGTGTGCCAAAGACTGTCATACTTCGTAACGTTATGTTAGCTAAGAGTACTCATGCAGTGTCAGGCCTTGTGCCATTCTGGTATACAATTGTCACTCTGACATAAAAACAGAAATTAGAAATGAAATTCTACCCCTTTAGGAATCACATTTTCAACGAGGAGCTTCTTTTCACCCTCATATATATATATATATATATATATATATATATATATATATATATATATGTGAAAAGTGTATATAAATATAAATAAATATATATATGTATAATTATTTATATATTATATGCGCGGTACTTATTAGAAAGCGCTCAATATCAGAGATAGAGCTATATATATATATATATATATATATATATATATATATATTATAAATTAACTGATTTAAATATATGATTCCTACGCTACACAAGAATTACCATGTTTCAAAAACCGAAGCTAAAAACTTCAAATTTAATTATATAATTAAATTAAAAGTATTAGCTCTGTTTCATCTTCAAGCGAATTTTGGAATAACTTATTTTAAATTTGAAAGAACTAATGCGTTTAATTTAATGATATAATTAAATTTGGAGGTTTTAGTTTCTGTTTTTGAAACATGGTAATTCCTGTGTAGCGAAGGAACCATATTCTTAAATCAGTTAATTTATAATATTTATGCTCTGTAAGTTTACATTGAGCACTGTTTTGTAAAAATAAAAATATCAATAAGAACACCGGATTATATATCTTACTGTTCTTTCTTTTTACTACAATATATATATATATATATATATGTAAGCAAATATACGGTATAGATCCGACAGTATATGCAATTATGCTGTTTTAATGTTAATATAATGTCAACGTCGGACGTTTCGGTCTAGTAGACCATCTTCAGGACATATTCATAAAACATAATTAACATTAGACTATATTTAATTCAACATGAAAAGACGATGGACATAAGAGTAAGACTAATCAGAACAGATAACTGAAATTTTTCAAGATCAGCGTTCCGTTTCAATATGATCACGTGGGCGTCACGTGGGCGTCACGTGGGCGTCACGTGGGCGTCACGTGGGCGTCACGTCGGCGATGTTGTGAAAACGTATTCCTAAAATAAAGTATTTTGAATGAAAAATGAAAAGAATTTTATTTCAATCTAAAATTTATATGTACGTTTATCGAGCATTAATCTTGCCAGAAAAGGGGAAATATTAAAGAAGCCGGGTCTAGTATTCACCGTACGTGAGATAGATATTATGCCTGCCTCATAAATCCGCCTAAGATTATTATTATGAATATATTTTGAAATTTTCACAGAATCAAAATCGAAATTATGATCAGATTTAGTTATGTGTACAAATAAAGCATTGTTTAAATTACCGAGGCGAATATCTCGTTTATATTCGAAAACACGAGATTTTACGGACCTACATGTTTCACCCACATCTGTTATTTGTTTTGATATTTATTCTTTATATTTTCGTATATTTTGTTCTAATTGAGAATCCCTAATTTAGATGGGGTATCCACGTTGTAATACCGTTCTAGAATTTATTAATTATTATCTGTTAATTATGTAGCGTTGTAGAAACGTTGTAGGAAAGCCATTTTGGTAGATGGGTACATTGTATTCCATGGAATTTTAGAGACAATGGTACAATTATTGATGCGTCGGCATAGGTTAATGCGCCATATGTAAACCAGGGGAACATTACAGAACCGGGACTGTGTCAGTTGGTTAAACGAATCATGTCACCAGGTCATGCCAGCACACAGTCAATTTCGTGTATTGAGGAGATCACACTAGCAGAGTGTTGAGCAAGCTGGTGGTGGTGGTGGTGGGGGGGGGCTCTAATGGAAAAGACGGAATGTGTATGGAACCAGCCGGTCAGCAGTGTGTTGTGCAAGCTGGTGGTGCTGTAATGAAGGAAACGGCACATGTATGGATCCAGCCTCTCAAAAGAGTGTTGCGTAATCGCGTAGGACTCTAATGTGGGAGACAGCACGTGTATGGATCCCTTTGGGCAGCAGTGTTGTGCAAGCTGGTGGAGCTGTAAGGTAGGATACGATACGTGTATTCACCCAGCCGGTGAGCAGAGCGTTACGCAAGCTGGTGGTTCTGTAATGAAGGAAACGGCACAAGTAATGGATCCAGTCGGTCAACAGAGTGTTGGGTGAGCGGGTGGGGCTGTAATGTGGGAGACGGCATGTATATAGCTCGAATCAGTGAAGCAAGAAAGGGTGATGGAAAGTCTTCAGGGAAGTCCAAGAAACCTATCGAAATGTTGATTGTTGCTTGGGAGTCCATTGCGTCACGTTGTCATCAATTTCTGGCTCATAACGCCATTTTGAAGACATGCGATGACAAAATCTGAAGAGCATGCATTTATAATAAACACTGTCTTCATGTGTATTATTCAAATTAGATTTGGTTCTAGTTATTTGAATTATTTCTTGAGAATGCCTCAAAATGTATATACATTTTTCAGACACCCTCTAGTCGCACTGAGGAGCTGTGATACAGCGAAACAGTAGTGTCTGCGATTGACATACATATATATATATATATATATATATATATATATACATATGTCTAGATTATTCATTTACATGTTTTAATAAAAGATATGAAAGGTATGCCGATATATATATATCGGCATATATATATATATATATATATATATATATATATATATATATATATATATATATATATATATACCGTTCCTATGAACACTAATGGGCATGTTTCAGTCCTCATAAATACGTTGGACACTATTGTAAGTGGGGGTAATATGCTGTCTAAGTAGTACACCACTAGCAGTGGTTTACCTGCCCACGCAGCTGGCGAGTATTCTATTTTTTGATATTATAAAGATTACATTACCATTTCATTTGTTATTTTCCGTTTTGGTTCTTCCTCATTCAGTAACCTTTTCTAGGTTTAATATATATATATATATATATATATATATATATATATATATATATATATATATATATAATAAAAGGCTTAAACACTAGTACTCGTAAATACGATCCAATTCATCAAACCTACAAATTCAAAAAAGAAACCAGAAAAATAACTACTGAATAAAAAATAAAACAAATGGAGTATATATAATTCCACCTTCTGTGTCTGTGGCATTAATTTTTTTAAAATTGCTCAATGCAGAGTAGAGCTTAATATTATTTATTATACGTGATTGAGAAAGCTTCAAAATGTATACATTTTTGAGAGACTGTCTCTCTCTCTTCTATATATATATAATATATATATATATATATATATATATATATATATATATATATATATATATATATATATTTTGAATAAAAGACAGACCACGTTAAGATTCCATGTAATAAGATATTTCACCATAAC